CTGTAGGTAATATTTGGACTTTGAAATTTTTCAATAAATTATAGAGGATTATAAATTGCACCACTTTAATTTGAATGATCTCAAATAGGGGGGCCAGGAGGCGGGTGAGGCGACACAAAAAACTAACTTTTTTTCGCAAACTTAATTAATTTAAATTCTGTTTGCGCCGAACTTGTCTATTTAATGTCATTACAAACTATTAGATATATATTTGGGGTGGGTTCCATGTCTAATAACTGAGATATTGGTATACCCAAAATCCACCAGCCTCCACTGCCCTATACATAGTGTTTATAAAAAGCGATATTGTTTCATTTGCTCTAACATAAAAATCCACATCCCCAACTTGTCGGCATTTTCTGAGCTTCCAATATTAATAATATATTTCAATATTAATAATATATTTCAATATTTCCAATAAATTTGAAAAAAAATTCGGTCATTTTAAAAATTATTTAGTTAAAGATTGTTACAACATACGATACCATCGTCATGATGGATGATTTTGTAAAATTTCTTTATTCGTTAGAAAATTTTATAAATTTAGACTAATAAAATTGCATTTTCGAGTAATCCAGCGTCAATAAAATTGACAGCCAACAGAAAAAGTTTTACGGTTTTTGTTAAATTAAGCCTTACGTTTAGAAAGCCATAAATTTGATGGAATTTGTATAATGAATTATACACTCATCCAAAAATTAAACGCTTGTGCCAAAATTTATTATTTAAAGTACACATGAGATAAAGCATAAAATGCTAATGTTGAGTGCATTTTGACCCCATGTTCTTGGGAGTTTTTTTATTTTTTGCACTGTATATTCTATACAATCGATTGTAGGGTGATTACCTATAAAAATTGTTGCATAATATTCGAGAACACTGCAGTTACAAAATATGTACATGTATAATATAATATAATATAATATAATATAATATAATATAATATAATATAATATAATATAATATAATATAATATAATATAATATAATATAATATAATATAATATAATATAATATAATATAATATAATATAATATAATATAATATAATATAATATAATATAATATAATATAATATAATATAATATAATATAATATAATATAATATAATATAATATAATATAATATAATATAATATAATATAATATAATATACTATAATATAATATAATTAGGTAAATAAATGTATTACAAAATATATACATTGTATATATTTTGTAATACATTTATTTACCTAAAAATTGTTTTTTATGCTGGTATCAATAATATTTAATAAATTATATATGTATGTATAGTAGGGTGAGCCAAAAAAACTAACCTATCGGATTTATGGGTTAAAATGAACCTACATACCGAGCAAAAAATTTCCCTGCAAGGCAAAATTTTTTGCTCAATTTTAAAAGGTGTCGGTGAGCATTCTAAGTTTTCCATTGAAATAACACGTAAAAAAATCTCTTTTTATTAAAAAGACTATAACTTTTGAACCGTTTGAAATAAAAATGTTTACGTCGCAGATTCTTGTAGAGCATAAAATTTCCCAAAGAATCTATACCAGGATTATTTTTTTTAATTCAAAAATTCGTATGTTTGAAAGCTTTGAAAAGTGTAAAAATCAGTCAAAACTGCAGTTTTAGTGATTTTTTACACTTTTCAAAGCTTTCAAACATACGAATTTTTGAATTAAAAAAAATAATCCTGGTATAGATTCTTTGGGAAATTTTGTGCTCTACAAGAATCCGCGACGTAAAAAAATTTATCTCAAACGGTTCAAAAGTTATAGTCTTTTTAATGAAAAAAGATTTTTTTACGTGTTATTTCAATGGAAAACTTAGAATGCTCACCGACACCTTTTAAAATTGAGCAAAAAATTTTGCCTTGCAGGGAAATTTTTTGCTCGGTATGTAGGTTCATTTTAACCCATAAATCCGATAGGTTAGTTTTTTTGGCTCACCCTAATGTATAGGTACCATTACAATTTTTTATATATTAATTAATTATCGTAGGTAAACTAATCGCTGTACAAAAACATAACCTTTTAGTAAATATAGGTTATTACCTATTATTATACTATACTTATAGACATTGCTCGATTTCTAAAAATACAGGTGCTGGAAGTATAACTCCTCTTTTATTTTATTTAATGTTAAATTTTATTTTGCAAAACAAGATTCTAAAAATGTGTTAGTGTGGTAATGTAAAAAAAAAACAGTAAATAGCATAGTTTTCTAATTGTATACGTTAACTTTCGTAATATTTTTATTTCTAAAGAGAGGTTTCGGCGCGTTTCGCCTCAAATTGAGCCCTACGGCAGCTGCTTAAACATAACATATTATGTACTTATACGTTTTCTTTTATTTTAATATATTTTTTGGAAAAGATATTGATATTGCATTTCCTACATAATGCATATATGCATTTAATTACGGTTATGTTCATGAGCATATTACTTTTTTTACTAATAATTTGTAGAGAATTAAATAAATAAATAAATAATGTTTCTTCTTAACTGTATTACTTACCTATTTTTAATGGTTTAGATTTAGAATTAAAAAAGTTAATAAAATTTTAAAAAGAATTTTAAAAATAAATATAAATATAATTTTTTTACTAAGTATTAGTATACCTGTATAAACTTAATGATGGGATTATTTGTCAGGCGCGTAGGTAGAAAAAAATTCCGGGGGGTTTTGGTAAAATATTAGATTAAAATAAAATCTGATGATGAAAAGGTGATAATTTGATAGGGTTTCTAAAAAAATCTCAAAACACAATTGTTTTTCACATTTCGAGGCAGGTTCAAACCCCTATCCTACCCCATGTTATTTGTAGAAAGTTTGCAGAAAAAATGATGAAAAAAATCAGTATCCTCTTTTATTTTATATTAAACTCAATGAGGAACCTTTTAAAATTGAAATGAAGATTTTTATTACAGCTAGAAAAGAGGATATATATTTAAACAGCCTAGTACAAATGTTATCTTTTAATTAGCGCAAAATACCTATTACTTCGCAAACAAACAATGTACGAAAATTAAGGTATTAAATTAAACTGTTATACAGAATATTTAATTTTTTAATTAGCACAATCCGTCTGAATTATCAGATATGGGCGTATCTCGTATTTTAAAATTTTATTGAGCATTTTAAAAATTAAATTTTTTTAGCTAATTTTAATGTATGTAATATAGATGGCATATGTTCAAGCGCTTTGCAAAGCGCTCATAAATGCTCATAAGCGCTCATAAATGCTCGAGCAATAAAAAACGATGAAATATAAATTTTATAAAAAAAGTTATTGAAAAAAAAAAATTCCAACAAAATAGAGCTAAGTAAACCATTTTGGAATTGGATAAACCTGCACCACTTTTGTTACCTGCACATGTTCTGATGTAAACAGTAGTTATTTGTTGGTTAATTTAGTTTTGGCGCCAAAGTGCTCATCCTTCTCTAGTACACGGAAAAAAATAATCGGTAGACTCTACCGAAAAAATCGGTAGACTCTACCGATAAAATCGGTAGTCTCTACCGAAAAAAAAATCGGTTCCCTCAACCGATTTTTATCGGTAGCAGCTACCGATTATTTTCGGTAGAGTCTCCCGATTTTTTCGGTGCAGGCTACCGAAAAATTCGATTACCAATTTTTGAAAATTTTTGTATTTTTTTATCGAGAAGTTAAATACTCGTTTTTTATTAAATAGAAAATAGTATTTTTTTTTGAGGTATAAATAAATTTGAAATACAAAAATATTAAAAATGAGGAGTAATTTTTATTAAATTTTTTACAATTCTAAATAAATATTAAATTGCTGGTGGCTACAAAGTAGATATTTTTTTTGTATTAATAAAGAAGGTTCTAAATTTGGTAATTTGCTCTTATTCTTTGTCATACTTGATTTATAATCAATTTCAACGCAATAAGCATCATAGTGTTGATCAAAATACAATGTTTTAATCGAGAACATGAGAAAATATATACAATTATTTACACTGACTATTTCATTAATTTTTCCGAAGACTGGATCGTTATTATCATCAATCATCAATTTCGAGAAAGTTTTCTTTTTTTTTCAGTACTAAAATCACCAATATGTACATACCTAGAAATATATGTAAATTAAAATTATATTTACATATAAAATAATTGACAAAACTGTATGTATTTATAATTGGATAAATAAACTTTTTTTTAAATAGATGATAAAAAAACCCATTTCTTTGAATAGCATTTTTTAATAATTACAATGAATACCATCTCAAAATGTTTGACTGAAAAGAGTAATTTTTATTAACTTGAATTATGTTTAATATTATTTTTAAATGTTAATATTTTTAAGTATTAATATTTTTTTTAAATTTTCTAACAGCGCATCGATGCGGATTTTCTCAGTTACGGCTACCGAAAAAATCGGTAGACTCTACCGAAAAATAATCGGTAGCTATTACCGATAAAAATCGGTTAAGGGGAACCGATTTTTTTTCGGTAGAGACTACCGATTTTTTCGGTAGAGTCTACCTATTTTTTCGGTAGAGTCTACCGATTGGCAATCGGTAGCTGTTACCGATTGCCAATCGGTAGCCTCTACCGATTATTTTTTTCCGTGTATGTAATAAATAATTTGATTTAACTAAAAATGTTTAATCTTTAAAATATTATACAAAATATTTAATTTTCTAGTTAGCACAATCTTCTGTCCCAATTATCACATAAGGGCGTATCTCATATTTTACAATTTAACCAAGCATTTGGTTAATTTAAATGTAATGCCTTTTAAAACATTTTTTTTAAATAATTTGAATTAACGTTTAAAATGCTCTGTAAAATTGTTAAATAAATATGCCCTTATGTGATAATTGGAACGAATTGTGCAACATCATTTAAAATTACATACAATTCATTAATGAACCAAAAGATTATTTATTTCCGTGGGTGATACAAACTGATAAAAATTTAATTATTATCGCTTTTATCAGTCAAAAATAAAACGACTAAATCAGAATGTAATAAAATTATATTAGGAATTTTCGTGTAAGTATCATAGCTTATGGACAAAAAATATGTACACGGGTTTTATATGATTATGTATTATACATTATTATAAGTTAAAATATAAAGCTAATTAAATTATCACAATTAAATACAATAATAATAAATATTAAATACCAAAATCACCATTAATAATGTCGCCGGATGGACCTATAACGGTCCGACTTTTAAATATTTTGCCCCTAAATTTATCCAGGTTTTCACCGCTATAAGATAAGAGCGGTGAAATTTCGACATCGCTCTCGCATTTTGCACCTGCTTTTTCAATAAACATTTTATGCAGGTTTAGAAGATCCCTACGAGCTGTCGCTGGGCTATCTTTACCCTCAGCATTTTTCAATGGGCTGAACTCACGATTGACTTCCACTTCCCAGGTGGCAAAATTTTCAGAAAACTGAAAGACGTCAAAAATAAATTTTTCTATTTTGATTCCATTTGGTGATTGTGGATGTATGAAGGTTCCATTATACTGGACAATCTTTTTTTTGGCTACATGAAGTGGTATCTCCTCTTCGTGATTCTTGGCGATTTTCTTAAGAAACTGAGTAGTAAAAAAATGATTGCAGATGCTTCCAGCGCTGTACAACAAGTCGCCGTTTTCGTCTCGTAAACTCGCCAATTTGGAATCAATTTCACTGTACTCCACGACTTTTATTTTGCCATCCACCTTGCATATTACCCCAACTGGTTCGGCCGGGTCGGCCTTCTTGATAACTTTAGCTCCACAGTCAGCTTTTTTAGATATACAGTAGCCCAAAAATGCTGGATCAGCAACTTTAACCAAAATATTATCAACACCATACACGTGAACGTACTCGATTCCACGTCGGTCCATATCATCAAGTATTCCGTTTTTCTGTAGCGCTCGGTATATTCCTCCATTTCCATCCGGAGCCATCGCGATGCTTCTTTTACTACTGAGGATGATTTTACCGAAATTGTCGAAGCACGGGAGTACGCCTTGTTGAAAAATCACAATGTTTTCGCGTTTTAACTCAAAAAAGTTGTGTTCTTCCAGGTATTGTTGGGTTTGTAGGTCGGTGGACTCGCTGGTCATGATGTACCAGCAGATGTTGCCTATTCTTCCTTTTTTAGAATTAGCCAGCTCTAGTACTCTCCTGATTCTTTCCGCCTGAAGTTGAAATAGAGTTTTCTCGGAGGGCAAACCTACAGAAAACATCCCTTTGGGGTAGCGCACTCCCAAACGGGTGCCTTGTCCGCCCGCTAGAAGGATAACGGCCACTTTATTTTTCGAAATCGCCTCATAGGCAGGCTCTAAGTATTTTTCTAGTAACTTCTCAGTTACATCTTTGGCCACCTGTATTTGGTCCCTCGGTATCGGAGCTATGCACTTATTCAACTGCTTGACGTCATTATTTAAGGTTTTTACGGCCTTCTTGTAAATACTGTTGATATTTTTAAGTGGAATTTCGTTTAGTTCTTTAAGAAACTCGTCCTGATCTTTGCTGTCCAAGTCCTCCCAAAATTTTAACAAATGTGACTGTTCGCATTCTTCTAGTTTCTTTTTTACTTGTGCTAGGTTGGGCTGCATTTTTAACGCTATCGTATCGCCGCACCGTACATTTAGGACTGCCGCGTAAACAAAAGTTACATTGAAAAATTAGTCGTTTGTAGGTTAGGTATGTGTTGACACACAGAACCGACACGTCTTGTGTGTGTTTACAACGTTGCCAATGCGAATATTTTTTCATTAATATTGGGAATATTTGATAAAACGCATTTATTTATGATATACCTATTTACTTTAGTAGTTGCATTCGAATATGCAGTTGTAATGCTGTTTGTAACCGTTAAGTAATTATCTAATAAACGATGTAAAAATAATACCTGCTTAATTAAATTTATTATTATTCCAATCAATTTAGAAATACTCGATAAAAGCGCCTACAAAAAATTAAGTTTATCACTCGGTGAGGGTTCGCATGAAAATAAAAAAAACCCTTTTGCGTGCTCCTAAAAACCACTTCTACCCTGCCATTTTAAAAAATAACATTTTTTCGGTTTCTCTTGCAACGGAGTCTTTTTACTAAATTTGACGCGGCCGCAGCCATGGTTAGTTTTGATAGGGAATTGTTTAATCTAATTTTTTTAATTTAACGTTTTTTATGCGCCGCTGCACTGGATCCATAGTTAAATAGTTAAATAGTTAATATAACTGTTCACAGAAGTCTGTTCCTTCTCGTATAATTAATTGAAGAGCAGGGCGTATACGCCGTTATAACGAATCCAAAAATAAATTTAAAATTGCTGATAAATATACCTAATATCACAATCCATTGTGCCCAAGCCCGTAGCCAGAAATTTGGTTTGGGGGGGGCCAAAACGTAGTAATAATTTTTTTGGTGGTAGGGGGGCGGAAATGGTTGATGGATAAATACCAGTAAAGCGTGAAGTTGTCATAAAAAATATGGCTTGTAATCGATAGACATATTTTTAAAACATTCACATATTAAGGAAAATTTTAGGGTTCACGGAATTTCGGTGGGGGGGGGCCGGGCCTGATTGTGCCTAATGTAATAGGTATAATAATATATAAAAATCCCGCGAAATTTTAAAATATTATTATGCCTTCCTGCGTCATGACGATAGTTTTGATTACACTTCTGGATAATATTGGCACAAAATATTTTTCAATTACCTAAATTTAAAGTGCTTTTTTTACTATTCGCATTTCGATTTGCATATTATTCTAAAACAGGGTAAAAGTAAAAGTTACTGTTTATATATATATATAATTATTAATTAATTATAATTAATAGATTTAAAAATATTAGCACCTTATTGTGATTTTTTGGAGTGATTACAGGACTAGGAACTTTTTCTTAATTTTATTTGTTAAAAACTTTGTTATTATTATAATAATATTATTATTTTATAGTCGCGGCCAAATCTGCATGGGTGCACGTCATCAACGGCGTATAACGTCAGCGTTAATGTCTATTCATACTGTTGACGGTGGGGGCTGTTAATTAAAATGGAATTATAACATCATTGTTATAATCTTCTACACTAACTAATGATAATCCTATAGGAGTTTGTTACGGGCAAATTTTGATTAAATGTGTTTAGAGAGGAAACAAAATTACATTTTTATTATCTACATATTATGTACACACAGAAAAAACGCTAGCATAGCATGAATGGGTGAGCCATTAAACCAATGGGATCTTGTAATCCGTATTTCTGAATAACAGTTCCTATAATACCAATAGCTATTGTAACTACCTAGGTAGTTAGCACTTGGTTTATAATCGTTTACTGTTTTAAAATTAACAACAAAAGTTATCGCTCCTAAATCTATTGATATTTAATTGTTAGAATGTTATATTACCATAGTATGTATACTATGTATACATTTAACGCAATAAATTCTTTGACATTTAGGCAAAATGTTTCCCTATTTTGGTTTAATAGCAATTAATTGAGAAAATAACAATTTAGATTGCTTCAATTTTAATGCTTTCAATGACAGCGCTGTTCTTGGTACTATGTAAGATTTATGTGCATAAAAAAAATGCTTAATTACCAGAAACACAAAAATAATAAATTACCAGTCGTCTTGGTCGTCAGAGCAAACCATGGTACACTGCAGTGGCGGCTGGTGAATTTTGAGTATACCAATATCTCAGTTATTAGACATGGGACCCACATCAAATTTATAATAGTTTATAATAATAAATAGACAAGTTCGGCGCAAACAAAATTAAAATTTATGTTTGCGAAAAAAAGTTAGTTTATAGTGTAGCCTCACCCGCCTCCTGGCCCCCCTATTTGAGATAATTCAAATAAAACTGGTGCAATTTATAATCTACCATAATTTATCGACAATTTTAAAATTTTATTTAAAAAATCCAAATATTACAGGTTTTATACCATTTTTAATATTTTATAATGTATAATATGTATATATACATATTATATAAATAATAAAAATTTAAAATCGTATGAAATTTATAATATTTGTATTTTTTAAATAAAAATTGACGATAAATTAAAGTAGGTTATAAATTGCACCACTTTAATTTGAATTATCACAAATAGCGGGGCCAGGAGGCGGGTAAGGCTACACGAAAAACTAACTTTTTTTCGCAAACTTCAATTTAAATTTGGTGTCGCGACCCCCCATGTTCATTTTTAACCTAAAAAGATAAGAGATGACATGTCGGTCAGTCGGTTTTTCTAAAATAAATCCCCATCCCAAAACCTCAAACCACCGTTAAAAAGCATAGCTTCAAAAACAAATAAACTTAATGGATTTTTTACTGCTAAATAGGTTCTTTATAAAAATTAAGCATAAGTACGTTTTTTTTGCTTTGTAGGTATAATTTTTTCTTTACAAAAACACAATTAAAGTTTCTTTTATAGGGTTGGTAGTACCAACTTGGTACCTAATACGTAAATAAAACAAAGCATTTTTAAAAGCAGTTTCTTGGAAATATTTATATTTAACATTTAAATACAATAAAAATATTAATTAAAACGACACATTTTTATGTAACAAATTTGTTTCAAACATTTAATCTATAAAATATATATCTTTTTGTATGAATTTTAGTTAATTCTTAACATAATTGAACTAAAATACCGCTTAATAAGTTTGTCGAAATTGGCACATTAAAAAATAATAAAAAACAAATTATTTTAGTCTTTGGGTAACATTAGCTAAAGCAACAGCAAATGCTTGAAGAGCTGAAAAAGGGTATTGAAAATCTAAGGTATAGGCATTTCCGTCTATCCTCCCAAATTGCATTACCTGAAAAATAAAACGAATTACATAATAAAAAAATTCCATCAAAATCCAAATCGCACCTGTTTCCCCCTAAATTCAATCTGAAAATTCTTTGCAGATTCCTGGGTAACCCTTCCGCCAAAATCTAGTTGGTAAACTTGGCTATTTTCGTTCCACATCGGAGCTTTGTTGTGCATCACAAATTCTCTTCTTTGAGGAATTACGTGGTTGTTACAACAACTGCCATTTGGTTCGATTTTCCCTCTCTTCAACTGAACATTCAATAAACATTTTTGCGATATAACACACATTAAACTCACCTTTTGCCTGAGTTGAGATTTTTGAAATGTTTCCAGGTCCTTATAGTTCGTACCATTGCAAATTTCATCCCCTGACGCGTTTACTTCATCATCGGAGCTTTCTTGGTTTTTGTTTTTCTTATATTTTCTCCCTAAGAGAGGAGAGTTTAAAAGTCTCCTTCTAATAGGAGATGAAGATTGTGGACGAAGCCCTAAACAAAACAAAATAAAGATTTAAAGATTTGTTGTATTAAGGCAAAGTTGTACCTTTTTTACTAGGGGATGGTGAGGCAGGTGAACTCCTAGGCATTCTTGGAGACATTATTGGCGAAGAAGGTTTGCTATCTTCTTTTAGCCTAGTTATTAATTTTTCTAAATTAGCCAGTGCTTGGGTATGAATGGGCGTACCATTTTTTTCGCTGGGTTCGTTTAAACTCGATTTGCTTCTTTCTTTATTTTTTTCACTCGTGACCGCTTTATCGGTCTTTCTTCTTCTCATTAGGGGAGATGAGAAAAAGTCCCGTTTGGAACTTTTTTTTCTAGGCACATCTACATTTATGGGTAATTGTTTAATGTTATCTACCGGTTTCTCCGATAGAGAATCGTTAATTTCGTGAATAATTTTATCCTTATTTATAATAAAATTAGAAATACTGTTCGTTTCGTTATTTGGAAAAATATCGCTAGAGTCCAAGCTCCGCGACTTGCCGCAGCTTTTGAGATTTGGGTTCATCCTTAGGTTCTTGTTATTGTTATCTACCAAATTTTTGGTTGTTAACCTGCTTTGTCGCTTTGTTTTTTGTTTTTTGTTTACAAGAACCAACCGCCTTGGTATATCCTTGCGTAAAAGGAGTAGCGCGGCATCGTTAGGCACCAGTTGGGCTTCTACCATATCCAGATACCCAACACTGCAACTCCGAACCATAGGATCGATAAAGAATGTGGATGGAGTAGATTTTTTTGAGGTGGATGCCGTGTTTTTTTCTTCGTCAATAAACTTCAGTACTTTGTTTGTGGTTAGAGGTTCATCGATTTTCTTAACGTTTTCTAAATTATGACAATAATTTAAATCTGACTTTTTAAGAACTCTGGGCTTGTTTAGATTAAATGAGACTGAAATATCATTTTTTTGGTGTTCATGCGTTATATTTGATTTAACTTGTAAGGTATTGTTAATACTATTAAAATATTCGCTTGGAGAGTAGGATATAATGGTTGGGGCTGGTGGTCTATCGAAAATAATGTCGCTGGGTGCAACGGCGTTCTTGGGCGATTGCAAAGCTGGTACGGATACTTCACAGCATATAGGGGATATGGCGTGCCTTTGACTTGACGGGTGCTGATTGCCATTTTTGAATTGGCTAATAAAACTGGTGCTCTGCGAGCTATTCGGACGAAAATTTACTTGCGGACCGTAGTTGCAAGCCGACGTCTGTGGACGGATATGATCGTTACACGTAACGATATCGTGGATTTCTACGTAGTTTTTGCTTTCTTCGTACGACTCGACGGTACTCAAGTTATTTATATTTGAGTCCTTAAGATAGGAGGATTTTTGTTTGGTGGTTCGAGGGCTCATTGGTGCTATCGTGGGCCAGTTTTCTATAGAAAGTCTAGCGGTTTTTGTTTTCACGTCTACCTGTAAATTTTCTTCCTCATCTTCCGAGAATAAATTTGGATTAAACGTAGGGTCTGGTCCTATAGGAAAGTCATCGCAGAGCTCAGTCATTACCAATGTCATTTGCCTTGGTTGCAGATGTAGCAATGACGTTTTATAAGTTACCTGACCTAAATTTGCTGGAACTGAAGTCGCTAAACCATGGATTTTAAATTTAGTTCCCCAAATATTAGAAGTTACTTCTACCAAACGTACTTGCTAAAAATAATATTGTCTTTAAAAAAAATTCTGAATTATTAAATTTTAATTTACCTCTGGTAATGTATCCAAATAAGATAAATCCTCCTGATCAGTATCTTGTTCCTTAAACTGCCTCTCGTATGCTAAATAGGCGTTTTTATTTTTTCTTTTCTTTCTTCTTTGCATTCTGGGCGATCCTGTACAACCATCCTCCCTCTCTGTATCTGAAGAATCACTTAAACATCCAGCTCCACTGGCAGAATTGGATGATGAAGAGCTACTTTTAGAATCTGTATGGAAGTTATGAAAATGATGATCTTCTGCTTGCGGATCAAATATCACAAACTCTGGTCTTATTTTGCTAGTTCTTTTGCCTTTTAATAGGGGCACCAAACCACCTAAATATTCTAAATAGAGAGTATAACATGTACCAGAAGAAAGATTATTTTCATCGTCATGGCGTATCATTGTACAGTGAAGCCTGACGGAACCTACTGGGGGTCGGGATACGAATTCTCGAAGGGAACTTGGTTCTGGAATACAGCACTAAAATTAAAACATTATTATTAAGGTGTCTAAATTGTTGTTGTTGTTGTTGTTACCCTAATAGTTTGAGCAAATAAGTTTCCGATAATATTTCTAAGACGAGCTGGTAAAGGCAGCAGAGATAATTGTGACTCATTAGAAATCATATCGTGTATCCTAAGTCGGCATAATAACTGTAACGAAGCTATTCTTTTTGAAACCCATGCAATGTGGATCTGGGTACCTGTCGCTATAAATAAACGTTTATCGTTATGCCCCCACGTGAGAGTCGAAACTCTTGTCTAAAATAAAAACAAGTTTTAGTAAGTTTAATTAAATCGTCAATATAAATTTGTTTTTACATGTTTTTCAGGAATTATGGTCGAGTATATTAGAATGCCTTTTTCATTATAAAACCGTAAAACGTTAGTGTACTCGAGCTGAGGACCGTTGGGAGAAGTCCTGATCGTGACCCCCGATACAGCGAGAACTTCCCTGGAGTTGCTCCATTCCATGCAAAGTGGTCCTTGTAGGCAGGTGTTTATTTGAATTGGAGACACGTCGTCGAAAGTTGACAGCAAGTATATGTAGCCATTTTGGAGACAAACGGCCAACACAAACTTTCTCTCGGCTGCAATTAAAACAGTAAACTATCAACCGGTAAATTGAAAATATCAATTCATGTTACAATTTCCCTTCAATAACAACTTGGTAATTAGAACTCTAGCAACTTCCTTTTTAATTTCCTGCTTTTTGGGCCAATTAAGGAATCAATTCTTCTATCCAAATAAACAAAAATTTGTTTAGAAAAATTCTCCTAGGAAAGTTTAAAAATTAAATAGGTAGGTAATGAAAATAAAAAACTAAAACTGGTAGGTTCCTACACTGTAAAAATTGGTTAATAGTGTAGCTATTAAAAATTATTATACAAGAGATAATGCGCATATTATTGACTGTAATACTGTATCTACCCCAATTAGTAGATATTTAAATAATTTTAAAAAATAAATGAATGAAATGTCACCTGTCAGAGGCGCGGAGGTAATAAATTATTATTAATTATTAGGTACTCAAATGGTTATCATTATTTACTCAATATTAGGTATTCAATATAAGTAGATAATATTATATTATTATACGAGAGAACATACCCATAATCTCGAGTGTAATACTATGCAATAGAAGTAGATAAAGTATATATACTTTATCTACTTTTATTGCATATTATTGGAGTTTTTTCGTGAATAATGATAAATATTATGAATTCCCTGCATAACAACCGAAATAATGAACTCATTATTACGTTGTTAGGCAACAGTGATTGGTCAACTTTAATATTTACTTTGACTTGAACCTATCGGCCCGATAGTATCGGGTTTTAAATGGGAAAAAGGCGAAATTATAGTTTAATAATTTAATAGAATCTGACATCTGATGTCAGATTTTATTTAATTATTTGTAAAAATCATATCATTGAATTATTGGAGAAGATAAAGTGAAGTATTACACTCAAGATTATGCCCATTATTCAGCAAACCTCATCCTGGTGAATAATAGCCTGCATTATCTATCGAATACTATACTCGAATACTATTAACGACTACAATAAGTCGATAATTAAATTATTTTAAAAAATAAATAAATAAAATCTGACATTCGTCAGATGGTTAACCTCAGTTTTTACTAATTTTAAATATTATTATAGTCGCCTTTTCCCAATTTAAAAATCGATTAGTTCAAATCATCGTGCATATTGAAATCGGCCAATCACTGATGCTAAATAACGTAAATAATATGTTAATTATTCCCGTTGTTAGGCAGGCAATTTATAATGTTTATCATTATATACGAAAAAAACCAATATTATGCAAAAGAAGTAGATAAAGTAGATTAATAACATGTTCTAAGTAAGTAATTTAGAATGTATTTCCAGTTAAGAATTTTAAAATCCAACAAAATTTATTATTTGAAAAATAGTTTGTTTTTCTATAATTTTTACAAAGCAATCTTAAAACAACCCATGTCGAAATTATAACATTCTTTATGGTATAATCAAATATCGTGCAAAACCATAGCTCTTACTGCCGCCTTTATTAATAATCTAAGAAAAATGACGAGAGTTCCTATACATCATTGTCAATCTTGCAAAGGCTACCTACTAAACAGATTGGTGCTAAAGGGTGTTCCAATAGGATGTTATTATTTTTAAGATAACACATTTTTTATCAACATTTCATGCTTTTGTAATTTGCCCTGTATATTAACACATAAATGAGGAGGTGCATTTCAAAACTCGGCTTATCCATATTAGTTGTTTTTGAGCAAAATGTCAAAAACTTTAAACGTGACTACTAACGTATACTTTAAACAAAATATATAGGCATAAGTAAAACATTTATATACATGATTAAAAAGGTATACCTCCAATTTAAAATAATTTAAAATTACATACGTAAATGCCGACTTCTGCATGATATAACCAATAGATAAGGCAAGTTTCGGAACGATAGTCAATTTGTAAATGAATTTTAAATGGAATAAGGTGAGTTTTAGAATATTATGAACTTTTCAGGGTATAGGGGGATACATGTTAAATGTACAGACACCACTAACTCATTTTTATTAAAAAGTGGATAAGCCGAGTTTTGGAATGGACCTCCTCAAATAGTATATTGTAGACCTAGTCGGAAAAGTGCTACATTTGCTATATTTGGCGCGTCATTAACGGTATCAACATGCTAAAGTCCGTTGCTATGGATTTATTATTATATTTTTTCTGCCTAGCCACTTGTAGGTGTTTTGCAAGGATAGCCTTATAAATTTTACTTTAGGTTTAATAGTGTAGAAATAAATAGTATAGTGTAAACCTAGGCCCAGGGCTGTCCCTACTCTCTTAAAATGAATGAATCAGAAATGACTAATTGTCATAGCGAAAAAGCAGCCACTAATAACTGAAGTCCACATCAATTTGTATCCCGGACACTTAACAGTCAATTCCTATAGGAATTGACTGTTAAATGTAAAATTGTTTGCTTAAAAATGTAAAATTATTCGCTTAATAATGTAAAATTGTTCGCTTAATCCAAAAATACCGTCAAAAGTTATGAAAGTAGACCAGTTTTTGAGATCAGTCAATTCCATTTTATATAAAAAATGACTATACCTCAACAACTGTACAACTTTTATAACTTTTGACGACATTTTCGGATTAGGCGGACAATTTTACATAGAACTTGACTGCTAAATGTCCAAGATACAAATTGCTGTTGACTAGAATTATTAGTTTCTGTTTTTTCGCTATAACAATTAGTCATTTTTAACTACTTTACTACTTCTAATTTACTTTAAGAGAGTATTCAGGGTGCAAGGTGTGCTGCGAAATGTTTTTAAAGAATCATATCATTCAAATCCAAGCTGGACTAAACGCCCAGACGCGTGATAACTCGTTTCTATTGGTCGATTCTGATGGTGTGACTCGGATTGTGAGCTCTTATTGGTCGATTCTGAGGATTGTGTTTACATTTAGTCCAGCTTGGATTTGAATAGACTTTAGTTAATTTATCTTTTCCAATTTACTGTAGGTATATTATTTAATAATTTTATTGATTAATTTAATTATTTAGCCAAAAATTAACTTTATTTTAGATCACAATAATTATTATAATTAATGTGTTTTCTTTTTAGGAATTTATGTTTATAAAATTTTCTTCTTTTTGGTGCCCAGCAACCAATTTTTTGACATTATAAGACAACAATTTTTTTTTGAATCACCCACATTTATATTTAATATACATGTATGTATATTTAATATACATGTATGTATATTAGGGTGATTCAAAAAAAGATTTTGGCTTATAATGTCAAAAAATTGGTTGCTGGGCACCAAAAAAGAAGCCTATCTACGTATCTACGTATTAGGCCTATTAATAGCCTATGACTATTAAGAGAAAGATCCTCGCAATTTTCCATTTTCACATTAGTCTGATGAAAAACATTTTGTATCTCACTAACAAATTAATTTATTGAATGAATTAATTAGTCCGATAAAAAACATTTTGTATCTTACTAACAAATGAATATAAGCCCAATAAACATTTTATAGGGAATTAAATGTTCTACAAAAAAGATATCCCATCTTTTTCGTAAATCTAGCCATTCAAAAGATATCTTGGGTCAAAATTTAAAAAATTAAAAAAACAATTTTTTTTAAATTTTAAATTTTATAACTCGCAGAATAGTTAAGGTTTTAAAATAAGTAGTACACATTTTTGTTGGAAATTAACTGATCTACAAAAAAGGTTTTTTTAAGTTTTTTTAAGTGTTTAATCACAAAAAGCAAAAGAAAACTTTTTTTTAGATCAATTAATTTTCAACAAAAATATGTGGGTACAAAAGTTGGACAACTTGTCATTAGTCAATAGAGTGGGTATTTTAATATTTTTTGTAAATATTTTAGTATATTACAAAAGATTCAGGTTTTTTTAACTTGTCCATCCAATTTTAATGTATTTTTTCAAAAGCACGTTTGTAAAAAAACATAATAAATATTCAAAACATCAGTACCTTGGCGTGTCACAACTCCTGAATCAAATATTTGAGTGATTTTATTTTAAAATATATTCAATTTATCTTAAATTTTTCAATTTTACTACAAACTATAAAACATTAAATAATGTATTCTTCATATTTTATCATAAATTTACCCGTCAGTTGTCCAATGTTAAAATTCAAAATTCCTGCGAAATATTGAAGTTTAAACGTTAAGTCCTCGTTTTAACTCAAGTGTTGGTAAAAAATTACCTACAGAGCCCGCCCTTTGCACGACAGTCATCTTAAAAACAATGCAAGCGGCGAAGTTGTGGTGAATGCACGTATAGTTCCAGTCAAAATTTCAGTACAGTGGTGAGTAGTTATTTTCTTACATATATATATTTCATTGTAATTTATATAAGGCTATATGTGATTTGTTGATAAGTAGCATCCATTAATAAAAAATATCAGTAAAATACTAAATTCCGAATTATAATCTCAAATTTTTATCCCATTCCTCAGTACCGTGTCGTTTCGGTTATCTTTTTTTTTCGCAAACTTCAATTTAAATTCTGCTTGCGCAGAACTTGTTTATTTAATGTCATTTATTATTATCGGTATACCCAAAATCCACCAGCAGCCACTGATGTGTGGTATTATTTGATTTTAAGATATTTAATGTATAATATGCTCAAAGTTGCAATAAATCTTTCCAATAAATTATGTATTTAATTAGTACCCTTGTATACTCGTCACTTCCCTTGCATTCAAATTTAGAAAACACAGATATTTCAGAAACTGTTTGAAAAAGTGACTGGCCCGGTCTGGAACAGTATATTTATTATATTATCTATGTTCTCATAACAAAATACTGTTTAATTTTCTTCGAAAACTATATAAAAAAAATGAGGTCAAAAGTTGCCCAACTTTTGTAGAATCACCCATGTATATGTTTCAAAATAACTAATCTGCAAGCTTTTTGAAAAAAAATATTTAATTATCAAAACTTTTCAAACTTTGACCTAAGATATCTGTTGAATGGATAGATTTACGAAAAAACCATAGGATTCTTTTTTGTAAAGCATTTAATTCCCTATTAAAATATGTATTGCAATACACATGTGCTTTATATTCATGTATTAGTGAGAAACAAAATGTTCTTTATCAGACTAATGTGAAAATGGAAAATTGCAATGTGGAGGATCTTACTTTTAAAGTAAGAGCTCATACGTAGATAGGCTTCTTTTGAGGTGCCCAGCAACCAATTTTTCTATATCATAAGTAAAAAAAGTATAGTGTATTTTTTTAATTATACATATAATTATGTATATATAGGTATATATATATATATATATATATATATATATATATATAGATATGCAATCCTACATTACCAAGCCCGAAACGTTACATTCTACAGTATAAACGAAGCCCACTCGGTTTTTACGAAGCCCGAAATCGGGCTTCCTAAAATTAGCGTGTATAAATTTGTTTTAGAGTTAAGTGATGCCCCCTTGTTTCAATGGCGAAAAAGTGGTGGGCTTCCTAATGCCATTCAAACCTATCAAAATATACACCCTTAGTTCCAATGCTTTGGCGGTAGGGGGCACACGAGTCAAACGAGATTATATACAGCTTTGTATAAGTATTACGCAGTATACGAAGCCCGTACATCTGGCAACAATGGGGACTATACGCTCGATGACTTTTTGATAAGAAGGCGGGGAAAATAATGCGGGATTCTTAAATTTGTATCTACTGATTTTCAAAATAAATGTTATATTCCCAAAATTATGTTTTGTTCACTACATGGCGTGGATTAAAAGGCAATGTTTTGTTAAATACTTTCGTAATACACTTAATTTTAAAGAATTATTTATTTTTGAAATATTATTTGGAGTGCATTTTTCTTTGGGGCGGTTTTACAAGTTGTCCAGATATTTTACATAGTTTTAATTGGGGAAACAAGGGGATTTGTATATATTATTATTATTATTCAATGTTACATTTAAATAATTTAAATAAAAATAATTTTTAATTTATTTGAAACATTCCCAATTTTAATAAAAATAATTTTTAATTTATTTAAAAAATTTCCAATAGCGGTATGAAATAAATTAAAAATTATTTTTATTAAATATCATTTTAACGTAATGTTCATTGAATTGCTAAAACTGCTTTTTGACAGATAGCTTCTCTGGCAATTTGTCAATTAACATTCACAACTGGTCAATTTATTTATACATGGCAAACAACGACCAAACAACAATAAGAAATTGGGTTCTTTATTTGGATAGTGCTTATCTAAAAGGAACCAAAAACTTGTTCGGAGCTTAACAAACTTATTTGTTTATATGTACCTAACTCATTTTTAATGCTGCTCAAAAACTTAATTATAATTTGAAAGTCCTCTCAATAATTTAAAAGAAGTTCTAAACAATGATAAACTTTTTGAGCATTATTAAAAATGAGTTATTTTACAAAAAAATTTGTCCAAAAATAGTTTTTGGCGCTTGGTTCCTTTTAGATAAGGATTGTCCATTTATACTTACCATTATAATATTATTTTACCAACCGTTTTGGTTAAAGTAATATTTTATAAAATATATATATATATAGATATATCTACGATTTTTATTGGATAAAAGGCAGCTTTAACTTTATAATGTAGCTATAAAACAATATTTGGTTGGTAATACATTTTTCTTGTTTATAGGATGCTAAACTAAATAGCAATTTTCCCCACTTCTTGTTTTTATTTTTCAACTTTTAATTTGGTTTAGTTTTCCTAAATTTTCCCAACATTTAATAAAATGGATATAGCCGGTTTTCCACGGATGCTCCTCAACTATGGTCTAGGTGTTTTAAATCAAATTTGCCTATAATTATAAATTTAGACAATATTTTTAAATAATGACTTATAATTCATTCAATAATATAATAGTTTTTATTAAAATAATTATAAATCACACTATTTTTAAATACACTGCCCTACAAAATTATTGCATAATAAATAAAAAAAATTAACTCTAAAACGCCTTTACTAATCTTTATGCAATTTTGGATAAAAATATTCAACTTATATCCAGGGACCCGGACCGAAATGAAATATCGGTTCCGGTACGGTTTTGGTTCACCCTATTTTCGTTTTAATGGTTCCGATTCCGGTTTCGGTTTCGTGGAGTTATAACGGTTCGGTTCTTTTCGGTTTTAAGCGGTTCCAGTGAGGTTATTTGTTTTAAGTAATTTTAATCTATAACCTCACACATATATATATATAAGCAAATAAAGGTTTCGGTTCCGGTCCAACAGATTTTATCAAAAGCGAAAACGGTTCCGGTTCGGCTTTCGGTTCGGAAAAAAAAACCGGTTCCGTTCCGGTTTTCGGTTTTCTTCGGTTTCGGTCCGGGTCCCTGCTTATATCTCAATTTACGTGTTCAAGCTTGAAAAACCCTAGGGTTTTTCGAGAAAATATGTTTAAAGCCTTTTTATTTAATAATGAAAATAAGTTCGAAAAATCACTTCTAGGGAGATTTTTTAAATAAATAAAAAATATGCTGTTAAAGAGCGTATTTTTTTTAGTATACCCTGAAAATTTTGTACAAATCAAGAGAACAGTAACGAAGATACAGCGCGCTTCAAAGTCGTGAAAAATGACCACTTTTCAGCAAAATAATCAAAAAGGCGTCATTTTTACCGACTTTGAAGCGATGTATCTTCGTTAATGTTCGTTTGATTTGTACAAAATTTTTAGGGTGTACTAAAAAAATACGCTCTTTAACAGCATATTTTTTATTTATTTAAAAAAATTCCCTAAAAGTTATATTTCGAACTTTTTTTCATTATTAAATAAAAAGGCTGTAAACATATTTTCTCGAAAAACCCTCTAACACGTAAATTGAGATATTAGTTGAAGTATTTTTATCCAAAATTTCATAAAGATTGGTAAAGGCGTTTTAGAGTTAATTTTTTTATATTTATTATGCGATAATTTTGTCGGGCAGTGTATTAGAGTATACGTCATTATTTAGATTTTTTAGAATTTTTGGTGTATTTAAATCTAATAATTAAAAAAAAACTAGATGTCTTTATAATTCATGAAAAAAATATTCAGTCAGTTTCACTTGTTTTGATTCCCATTTAAGTTTTACACAAAATTACCTAACCTCAACAATAATTCTTATAATAATTATAATTATTGATATATTTGTATATTTTTTATTAACATATGGAAATATATTTTTTAAAGGCTTAACTTTTAAACAAAATCGAAAAATGTTTATAATTAACCCAGCTATCATCTGACAAAGTTTGCCATAGAGCTTGTAGAGCACCCTGTATAAGATATTTAAACCTTTTCAAAATATGATGTATAAACAAAATAAATGAAATGTTTATACCTATATGTAGGTACCTAAATTCAACAATACTTTTAAATTATTATAATATAAATAATTATAATTTAACGATAATTATTATTATAATAATTATAATTCAACAATATTATTAAATATTTAAGTATACCTACGTCATTATTTAAGAATATTGTTAAGTTTAAGTATCGTCTAGTTATTTTAAATCAAATTTGCCTATAATTATAAATTTAGACAATAGTTTTAAATAATGACTTATAATTAATTTAATAATAATTATTATTATAATAATTTTTATTATAATAATTATAATTCAACAATATTATTAAATATTTAAGTATACCTACGTCATTATTTAAAAATATAAGTTAAGTTTAGGTATAGTCTAGGTATTTTAAATCAAATTTGCCTATAATTATAAATTTAGACATTGGCAACACTGCAGGGCTTCTGATACACAGCGGAGTGTGTCTCTTGTTGTTTATGCACCAACGAACAGTTAACCGCCCCGTCCCGCATTACCGGGCTTCGACTAGCCAGTGTAATGCACCGGGCTTCGTATTGATAGCCGTGCATGTATATATATATATATATATATATAGTGTGACCCATTTGTTTGCGAGTCACCCCTGTAAAATCTTTATTTATTGTGCGATTTTAACCGGATTTGTTTTAGTTAGTTTAAAAAAAAGTTATAACCGTTTGAGAAAAATGCACCAAATGTCGGGTGGGTTACCAAAATTCACAAAACTTAGTGGGGTGGGTAGTGATTCCTGAATCTCAATTCCAGATTAACTAACATTAATATATCAGCATATGAGATTAGCAAAAAATTAATTCCAAAAAATATCCACAGCATTTAAAGAATCCAGAAATAAATGTCCCATACCATTGTCCAAAAAACCAACCTGCAGGTTGCTCTGAAGTTGTTTTATTAATATACGCAAAATGTACACTTTAGGCACTGAAATTTGTAGGTACAGGATATTTATTAATAATATTTTAAATATGTGAAAAAAGCCAGATGACTACGAAGGTTTTAAATAATTCTCACATTTTTAATAATAAATTTTCTATAAATAGGTATCAGTGCTTAATATTAAATACGAGTGTCAAAAAAAGTTTACAAAGAAGTTGCATACTTAACTTTATCTACGACGATTTGACTTTACTTTTTTCCAATGACTTTTTCCAGTGACTAAAAAGACCAAAACTTTTAGGCCGAAAGCCAATGTTGCTAAAACTCCCCACCCACCCGACCTATCCCTTGCCTATGACTGTCTGTAACTTCAGCCAGAAATTAAAACGCCATAAAGACACAATGTAGGAGTAGATACATTGTATTTATTTGCCTATGTTAATAAAACGACTTCGGAGGGACATGTCATATTCAAAATAGTTTAAATGATATATATATATATATATATATATATATATATACCTGAATTCGTGACGCCTGCTTCGTTATCGTCGCCTTCCTCCATTTTAAATTTCTCACATGACCACGCCATCGAAGTAATACCCACTTCGGATCCCAACTGGACCTGTGAAACCATGGCCCCGTGGACGTCCATCACTATAATCTGGCCGGACGTGGTGCCAAAATAAACTTGCTGGTCGTCCGGAGTCCATATCCCACAGTTTATGGTCGCTTCCAGATTTAACATCGATGACCAGTACCTTTGACCAGCCACAGAACCAACCAACACGAAACCATCCTGAATTGAATTAAAAGTAGGTTAATATTTAATTAGTTTAGTCCTTCGAATGCTAGATTGTTATCTTTGTCATGCAATCGTAAATTGTAGATATTAGTTACCTGATAGCAGATTAATGCCATCCTGCCATCGTGTGACCATGAAAAATGTGTCACTGGCGTGTTTCTATCGTTAATTAATTCAATAGACCATCGGCCCTCGTATTTAATCCAAACAAAAATAATACCTGAACTATCACAAGACGCTAGTTTTTGGTAAGGTTCGTTCCATTTTACTAATATCACCTAAAATTATTACAATTTCATTTTATTTTTATTTTGTCATAAATAACATAGAGTATAGGTATAGACATGCAAGATCTTATTTATACAGGTTGATTGTTATTGCACAATTCCTTGGCTGAAAATATCAAAAAGTTTAATATTCTACAGGGTATTTTTATTTACTCTTATTTTATCACCGTTGCAAAAATATAAAGGCGTTTTTAGTTTAATAATAATTGTTTGTCTTCTTTTATTATAGAGGTCGTTAGGTGTGCATGAGGATTTTCCCCTCTGTGAAACTATGGTGCCAATGACGCACCTCAATGAATTAATAATAATAATAATAATAATAATAATAATAATAATATTGTTAAAAATAAAGTGAAGGGGTCATTGCAAGAAGTGCCTAAGTCACATTTTCAATAAAATTGACATTGTTGAATTGACAAAATTGTGGCGCTATCTAAAATTGTTTCACTTCAGCTTTCAGGTGGTATTTGCAGTTTGGCAGAAAATGTGTCTAAGTGCCTTAGTTTGCATTTACTTCAATGGTTTACCTGGTTTTTAATGCAAGAAGTACCTAAGTCATCATTTTGACAGATGCAATGCAACATGTGCGTTAGTCCACGTTATTTAAAGTAGGTTATATCTGAGCAAATTACCTATTAAACTGTGTAAATCCTAATAATTTTTGTCTTTGATTAAAAACATAACTATGGCAGGTAAGGAAAGTAAAATAAAATAGATTGTGGAACCTTAAAACATACCAGTTTCCGTTTTTTTTTGCTCGAACGTTGTCTAAAAATGGAAGTATAATCCAGCAAAATGATGTCATTGATAAAGAAATTGATCAGTTACAAGAGGCCGACGCTGTTTATGAATAGCCAGCCTTCTTATTATATTCTTAGTTTAGCTTTAAGTTATGTCTTAGTCTTAGTTTTTTCACAATTTATATATTTTTTTACGGCGTTATAATATAATAAACCTTTTTTAAGTATAAACAAATATCCTTTAATTTTTGACAAAATAAAAACATTTCAACGCAAAAAGTGCCTAACTCCCAAATTATTTTATATATATTTTTTTGATATAACTCTTTTTTAATCATGGAAGTCCAATCCACTTTTCACAAAGAATACATAAAATACAACACATTTTCATCATAATATTTTGTGTAATATTTCATAATCAAAAATAAATCTTCAAACCGCAATATCTCAGAATCACCTATTTGTGACTAAGGCACTTCTTGCATTGACCACTTTAAGTACTAGTTCGAGAAGTTGACGATACTTATCTGTTCACATGTTCATTATTATTATTATTATCAAGTAGTGAATTACCTACTGAAATCTTTTTAACCATCAACAACTGTAGTCTGAGGATATTATATGGACCATTGATTAAGGGAAAATTAAAAGAATAAATATTTAATTTATTGACGCAAGTACAAATCAAATTTAAAAAATTTCACGATTAATTCGTATCGAATTATTAAAAAGGATAACTTTGATACATGGAAAATCCAAATGGATGTTTTAGACAAACGTGGATTTCGGTACGCTCACAACTTTAAACGCCTTGCTTAAAGCCGTAATACGCTCACCAATTTCGAGAGAGGCGATTTTTTTAGAAAATGAGCTTTCGACAACTTTATTCATTGGTTTGAACGCCAATACGTATTTCATAATTCCAAGCACACCTACTTTACCATACATTTCTGAATCCAAAAGCTTATCTGCGTTTTTGAGAAGCTTACGGCACGCATTACCTTCAAAAGTTTCTCCTTGATAGTTTTACCTACTAATTTTAGTTTGTTTGGCCAACTAAGAGCCCGGTTTCGGCCTAATAATGGCACCAACCACATCCTTGCGAGATGTTTAGTTCTAGAATAACACATATGTGTAGGGTTGGGGCAGTTGAAATTTTCAAATGAAAATTTTAACTTTGAAAGTTTCAAACTTGAAATATTTCATTTAGTTGGAAAAGTGAAATTTTTAAAAATTTCAAATGAAATTTTCAATCCGAAAATTTCAACATTGCCTGTGAAACTTTCAGAAGTTTCATTGAAAGTTTCGCAATTTACTGAAAATTTCGCATAAATTTCACATGCGGTCTCCCCTGGGACCTTTAAAAATAATTTACAACAGATTCCGAATCGACCAATAAGAACGAGTTATCAAGCGTCTGGGCGTTTTTGTTTAGTTCGGCTTGGATTTGAATACACTATAAGTAATTATTGTTACTTATATGCATAAATTAATTAAAATAATTTAATTCAGTTACCAATTTAATTTGTAAATTAAATCAGACTAACATTTTTTTAAAAGTCATGATTAATTTAAACTTTTACTTTTGCTATAATTGCATCGGAAAACGGATGAAAAATGCCTTTGGCTCATAAAATTTTGATGAAGTTTCTTCAATTTTCGTAAAATTTCAATGAAATATATAAAAATAATAAATATATATATAAATATAAATAATAATCACATTTTTAATATCAATATAATATATTATATTATTATAATAATCTCTCTTAGTTTTAGTAATTTTAAAAGGAAATCTCAAGAAATTTCTGGTAAACATAGGTATTTACTATTTATATTATTGGTGGTCAAAGGCCCACAGGGGTAGGTAAAAGAGGCAATTTGCCATGGTCCCTGAGTGGGCTTATTTCAATATATATAATATATTACCCTTAAAGTGATTGAAAGTTTCAATAAATTTCATAAATTTCATGAAATTTCAGAAATTTAAGAAATTTTAATAAATTTTATAAATGTCATGAAAATTTCAAGTGAAATTTCAAGTAAAAGCAAAAAGTGAAATTTTCCCAACCCTACATATGTGTTATAACGGAACATGTCTTCAGTATGTCTATGGACGTATATAAGTCGGGAATTCACTGTACTACACACCTCTAGAATTAAAAAAAATCGTAACTGTTTTACAAGTCTCCTTAAGACTTAAACTATATAGTACTCTTGAAGCCTTACTTTCTATACTGAAGACATGTTTCTGTATTTATTCTTTTAGTTTTGTCGGGATATTCGAGATGGAACAGTACGGATAGAGGTACGTCGTTGCTGACCATTTACATTATTATTAATACTTGCACCCCAGTTAATTTTCTTTTCCTGTGTAAATGCTTCCACGTTGCTGTAAATGGTTCTCTTTTTTTAGATAGCTTTGTTCACAGCTGTATTCATCCTTTTCATATTCATAGATCATATTGTCATCAGGACTATAATTTTCAGGCAGATTTGCTAAGCAAATTTTGAAGAAACCCTGTCCGGCGTTCAATAACCGCATTTAATATCTATTCAGCGTCACACCACACCACTGGCCTCTTTGCTTTGCTGTTTTCGACGTTTTTACCTTCTATTTAAAACTCAATTTTGTAGAGAGTCTAAAAGCCTTAGATCTAGTAGACAAGTTCTTTAAGTAGCAGAGCAGGCTGCTGTAGATTCACTATAAATTTAAGGGCATTTGTATGTGCCTTCGCTGTTGTGCAACAATTCCTTTAACATTTACCAATTTCGAACAAGCAGCTGTCGCAGTATTTGATTTTGCGCTTCGGTTTTTTTAGTACATTTTTGGGTCCAGAAAATGTGGTCGTGGTGAAACTTTTTCTGATTTCCGTATACGGTGGAATTTATAGCGTAGTCGGATTTCGGGTGTGTTCACGGCTCTTATTCAACTTTTCGTGTCCCTTAAACCTTACAGTTAAAGGCAAATGTAACAATTGCACTCTTCATTGCTTCTACACGGTGTGCCTGAACGAAGTTTATTATTCTTATTAAGACTTCATAAGAAAAATTGATTTTAAATAAAATAACATTTTTTGGAGATAAATCTTTTTTGTGCATTATGCTTTTTACTATATAAAAAAGTGGTTTTTGGCTAACCCTGTATAAATCTAATGATGTGCTCAGTATGAACAGTATTCTTCAAGTCTCGTTAACAATATACTTCAATATTATAAAAATCTGTTTACAAATGTGTACTCTGTCAAAGACTTTGAAATAAACAAAAATTAAAAAAAAAACATGAATTTTCAAAAAATTTCGAAAAGAGGAGCAGCTAGGATTTTGGTAAATATCATTTTTAAGTCACCAAAGGGTCCTGAACAAGAAACTGCAATCAATAAAAATCGGAGTACAAATGTGTACTCTGACTAAGCGATAAACAAATAATTAAAAAAAAATGATTTTTTAACAAATTAAAAAAAAAGCAGTTAGAATTTTGGTAAATATGGTTTTTAAATCTCCAAAGAGTGCCGATCAAAAAACTTTAACCAGTTTTTCGTTTAAAATTGAAAACTACTAAAAAGCCTAAATTAAACAACATTTTAAATATTCTCTAAGCGTTATTTTATTTAATTTTATTAAAAATCTATTTTTTTTATAAAAGGTTAATAAGAATGCCATTTTGTAACCTAATAAACGTAAAAATATTTAAAAAAAACTGGGGATAAATCTTTTTTGCCTGTTATGCAAAAATCATGAATTTACGCTTTTGCTTTATTAAAAATAAGCGATTTTTGGCTCACCTTTTATATATCAAATGGTGTGAACAGTATTAAAAAGTATTCTTTAAGTATCCTCAATAATATACTCTAATTTTATAAAAATCGGTGAAAAAATGTGTACTCTATCAAAGGTAGGCTTTGAAATAAACAAAAATTTAAAAAATCATGAATTTTCAAAAAAATTCGAAACGAGGAGCAGCTAGGATTTTAATAAATATCATTTTTAAGTCACCAAAGGATCCCGAACAAGAAACTGCAATCAGTTTTTGGCGGCATTTTTATGTGACTAGTGGCTTTTGGTAAATAAAAGTTTTGAACATTTGGAATTTTCGGTAAAGGTCTTTTTATAAAATTTTTCTTTCGATCTATAAAGGCAAGGCGACAAGTGGTGCACTGCAAACAGCAAGAAGATGTTTTAGATTAAAATTATTATTTAGCGAGTTGTGCACTCTTTGCATTCTTTCGTTCATTAAAAATATCGCGTAATTGTTTTTTTTAAATATTCTTTCTTCCGTTTGCAGCACACACTTTTCCTGTTTTCTTCATGTCTGCACTTTATTTTAGAGTAAGTTTTAATTTTTTTTTGTTTAAACGAGTTGAAAATCAGAACACAGAAAGTTTGACATTTGTTTCAAATTGATTTTCATGGCTTTCTACACAATTTGACTATAAGGAAACAACGCCATTGCCCGCCAAATTTTGAATGCAATGATTTTAATGACAATTTAATTTAAAGTATGTTTTTTTTTTAATTTTGAAGTGGAGGCGCTATGCTATAATTCGGTCCTGTGTACGCTCCTATTTAAATACTGGTCTTGCTAAAGTTTTTTTATGGTTGTCGATAACTACCGACCAGAGCGGGATGCAATTTTGACATTATAATGTATATATATAATGGATATATCATTTTTAGAAAGAAATAAGAAAACCATTTGCAGCATTATTATAATAAAATTTAAAATTGTTTTAGCTGCTGCATTGCGTTATTCTCTTTTTAAAGGATAATTTTTGAATGCACTGCATTTTTCCTTATTTTTACTTATATTCAAGACGCTGTATATTTTTACTTAATATACAAGTGCTTCTATTTTTTATTGAAAAATAATCTGTAAAATGTTAACTTTTAAACTAAATGCTACCGTTTCTAAATCAATTAAAGTGGGTACCTAATAAATAAATAAATAAATAAGGTATTTATACATCATTTATTTATTTATTAGGTAGTCTAAAATACTTAAAAATCGAATACCAATAAATTTATTGATACATGTAAAATCAGGCTCGGATACATGGGGGGCAACGGGTGCAATTGCCCCCCTGACTTACGACCAAAGCAATTTATTTTAACCAACTTCAAAATGTGTCTTTCCTTTTTTGTTCTCTATACCTAGGTATATGTGTTTTCATATTTTTTTTAAGGCAGAGGGGTAAACATAGGAATACAATGGGGATACATAGTAATACAATGGGAATACATGGGGATCCCCTTTGGGACCCCTCGGGTATTACATGAATAACAAACTAACATGTTATTAATTTTTTGTTTGTAACGAATTTTCTGGAATATAGGTAAAATCACACAAAAATTGCCCCCCCCTAAACGAAATCCTGGATCTGCGCCTGTGTAAAATACAATACAATATAAGATCAAATGGCCAATGACCGTGGTCCTTTAGCCATGTACCTAATATTAAACTGAGAAGGCATAATCTTGAGTTAGCCCCAAAAATTGAATTGAATTTAAAAAGTATAGTCCAAAAAAAATTCTGCTATAAATTTCGTGACGCTCTAAATGTTCAAAATGGGGCTCTTGCCCCCCCTACCGCCGCCCATGGTGCCTATTCACTAAACATTATTATCCGACAAAAAATAAACTTCTGGCGGCCCCTAAAAAACATGAACGATACGTGATGAAGAATTTTGAAGACAGATTTTGATTAACTGATACGTGCTTATGGTGTTAGTCATTTTTTAAATAAATTTTTATAATAAAATTGTATTTAAAAAATTAGATCACACCTCAGGTGTGACACCTTGGTTTATTAAGTACAACTAATCCACCTACAAATGAATAAAAAATCAATATGGATGTAAGCTTTTTTAGTAATTCCAATACCCATTAGTCAATACAATAAAAACTAGGACTCATTCACTGTAAAGCTTTTGCATTTAAAAATAACTTGAAACTAATCAATAGCATACAAATATATCTTGGTAAAATGAGAAAATAATTTAGGTGTATATTACCGATAACATATAACTGTAGAATTATTCTAGTAATCCTGATACATATTGAATACACTCTTTGTTTCCTTACAAATGCAAAATAAAAATTAATTGATTTCTTACTTCTGATCTATGGCCCCTAAGGTTGTAGTTTGTACGTAGAGGGAAATCGACGTTTTTCTTGCAATGGCTTGTGGTGAAAGTGACTCCAACAATGCCTCTCACATTGCCTGTGGCTAACCATCCCTCTTGATAGTAATTCGTTCTATTGAGCTTCCAGCCTTCATCCTTAAACAACAAAAACACCACTTAGCGAGAGGAAGAAAATCATATCTCAGCGCTTATTTTCCATTTGCATGCATGTTGGGGCTTTGTTAAAGTTTTTGCCGGAGTTATTCGTATCTACTGTATAATCCGTGCTTGGCAATAAATTACCCCCTATTTATTGATCGGCAATGTGACTTTTTAACAGAAATACTGAAAACTTGGCAGGTATTTTACAATTTATTGACTTTTGCCAAGAATACTTCAGTATTAGGGTGCTGCAGAATTGGGTTTTGTATTAGCCTATTATTTTTTATATTTTAACAATTTTAAATAAAGTATAATACCGCAGTGTATTAGATAATGTGGAAACCGACGAAGTTTGCCAGGCAAATTTAAGTGCACTTGTATAATATACCTAAGTTTTTAAGAATTAAAGCAAAATAAAAAAAACTTGACCGTTAAAATTATAAATATGGGTGATTCTACAAAAGTCGGGAAACTTTTGACCTCATTTTGTATATATAGTTTTCGGAGAAAATTAAACAGTATTTTGTTATGAGAACATAGATAATATAATAAATATACCGTTCCAGACCGGGCCAGTCACTTTTTCAAACTGTTTCTGAAATATCTGTGTTTTCTAAATTTGAATGCAAGGGAAGTGACGAGTATACCAGGGTACTAATTAAATACATAAATTATTGGAAAATATAAGATTTATTGCAACTTTCAGCATATTATATATTAAATATCTTAAAATCAAATAATACCACACATCAGTGGCGGCTGGTGGATTTTGGGTATACCGATATCTCAATTATTAGGCTGAATGTGAACAGGAGTTACTAAAGGATTTGCGGGGGTAAAACTATCTACCCACACCAAATTTATATAAGTTTATAATGACATTAAATAAACAAGTTCTGCGCAAGCCATGGTCACTAGCTAAAAGCTACAAGCTTAATTGCGGTACACTTTAGTCCCCGTATACCCAAAGCAACGTTTCCAAGTTTGCAACATTCAAAAAATGTATTATTTACTTCATATCTGGAAGAATTGTTTATGCGTAAAATTACCCCTCGCGCAAAATTCCCCCACCTTCCCCTAATGTTGACTAGTTTATTGTTTCAATGTACCTAGTTATTAATCTATGATGAAAAAGCATTGGAATAATCACAAATACATAATATTAATGTACAAAAAATTGACGACAGCAGTTTATTAATTTTACGTACCGTTTTTCTTTCTGTGTGTTTATTTGTGTTTGTCTGTGTATTCCTGTAATTGGGCCCGTGCCTGTTGGAAGCACATTAAAACTTAAAAAAAAAAGTTTAATTTTACATAGCAAAATATTCTTAAAATGCAAAAATTTTGAATTCATACTTGCGGTAATTTATCACTCAAAATGCCAGGGTTTATGTGGGACCCTGATATTGTCATCAAATTTTAAATTCTCTTTTAAATCACCTGAAGTTCATAACATTGTTCTTGCTTTAGCTTGCTCTAAAGCTTTTCGCTACTTTTAATAGGTAATTATATAGAACTATTATATTTTTATAGAATTACCTATTAAAAGTAGTAAAAAGCTTAAGAGCAAGCAAGTAAAATTGTGCTAAAGACTAGATATTTAAAAAAAAAATCTAAAAGTAGGTATACCTATAGGTAATAAAAAGCTTAAGAGCAAGAAATTAATATGGTGCTAAAGACTGGATAGTTTGAAAAAAATCTATATTTTATACATTCAGTACCTATAAAGACAAGCTTAAGAGCAAGCAACCATAATAGTAACAACTGTTGTACGATAGATATATGTAGATAAAAAATAGTATAGATAAAAAATCTATCTTTTTGACATTTAGTATTTTACCTAATTTTTATTTATAAATAAAAATTAGGTAAGACCTCTTGGAAGGTTCAAATTAAAATATTGTCCTAATTTTGGTTTGATCCTTAGTAAAAAGCTTAATAGCAGGCAATTAAAATTGAAAAAAATCTATCTTTCATACATTTAGTATAAAGACAAGCTTAAGAGCAACCATAATATTATTTATTATTGTTGTTTAGATAAAAATCTATCTTTTTGACATTCAGTATAAAGAAAATTAGGTAAGACCTATTGGAAGGTTGAAACTAAAATATTGTCCGAATTTTAGTTTGATCATTAAAATGCTGTTACGAACTAAATAAAATACATGTGAACACAAGGCCCAATGATAAAAAACTAATATTAGATATTAAAACCTTATGATGAAGTTTAATACTACTACATATACATATACAAGGACATTTATAAACATAAAAACTGTTATGTTAATAGAAACTTTCAGTTTTTTACCACACGCGGCCTATTAACAGGATTTACAATTCCAGATGGACAATGAGGTTAGAAAAACAATAGGTGAATTTATATATATAAATCATAAAAAACTGATAATTTATTTGCAGACCCTAATATTTTGAAACTAAATTTTACCATATGCAATTTTTTATAAAATAATTTTAATAATTTTATTTGTGGTTTATTGTCTATAAATATACTCCATGGAGTAGCTGCAGCTATTAATGTAAAATGCCCCCAAAGGAAAATTGTGTTTTAGACAAATTTGATAACGAAATAGAGGTTGTAGGACTCATTAAAACTAACCCTTTTTTAAAATAAATATTTTTTATCTCAGCTTTTGTTTTTGAAATATCGACCTTTTTTATTTACATAAACGTTTTTATCTTCGTTATTCATAAACAGATCTAAAAAAATTAATAATAATAATAATAATACATAAACATGTTTTACATAAACGTCTTTATATTCCTTATTTATAGCCGGATTTAAAAATTTTAAACTGACAACCTTATTTTTTAAAACACGGCCATAAATATTATTATAATAAATTGGATCTCGATGAGATCCAAACCCTATTACGTTGTAGAAACACCCTGTATACTTACCAGCGGTTTTTATGAATAACTTTTTATTAATTAATATTATAAAATATATTGTTTCCACACTTTTGGCCTTAAATTAAACTTAAATAATTTTAATAAGCCTATAAAGTGGGACTTTGAATATGTCATTTTACGTTTAACTTGATATTCCTGCTAAAAACTTCGAGGAAGATTGAAGTATATTTGCAATACGAACCAGTAAGTGTTTAAGATTGTTGAAGTTTGCCAGGATAATTAAAATTTTATGTTCTCTTTTTTCAGGAATATTAGTTTAATTAGTTAAATTATTATTTTAAAAATACTTCGGCCACGTGTAACAGATATAGTCAAGAAATCGATACATAAATTAAGAATTTAATATTAATCGAAACGAATAATTATTGTAAGTAAAACATGAACTTGGCAATACGTGTTTAGATATAGTGAATTTTCTTTCTTAATGATCAAAGGGAATTTTAAAGATAAAAATTCTTTCGAAATGGAACGAAATGAGAAAATCTATTGCAATGCAATCTACGCTCAATTTCCCACCCCTAAACAAAGTTATCTCACCCCTCAGAGTATGCGACTATTATGCGTGTGCATACATATATGTGACTTTATTTATCTGATCCTTAAAACTGCGCTAATAACTAGAAAATCCCGTGGGGATCATTAACTATGTACCCTTAATACGGTCCCTAATAAGCCTAAATAAAATAATAAAAATATAACTTATTATTATACTTGAGTAAAGTTATTAAAAAAAAAAACTAAAATAACTTAATAAAGTTAATTCAATTTATGCATTGAAATAATAGCGAATTCTCGCTTTACATCACGCTATTAATCTCAAAACATGTGTAAAACATAATTTTTTAATATGTAGAATAAAGTTTGCAAACAAAATTGTTAAAATAAAAATTAAGTATTTTCAATTATAGGTATACTTTATGGATCATTTCTTTTTCAGAACAACAAAGCATACTGACCTAAATGTTTACTGAAAGGATGAACTATTTTAATAAATAATTTTATCAACAGGTTACATAAAATAAACGAATTTTTCAAATAATGTTCAGTTAAGTAAATTGGCCCATCAATCAAATCCTGTTTGATCGATTTATATATAAAAAATAAAAGTTTATTGTCAAATCTGTAAGCATGTTATATTAGAATATCAAATTTTGCGAGTAGGTACCCTTCTATATAAATTAGAATAATGTGACAAATTTTCTTAAGTATAATTATATTATATATTATATTATATCTATTATATTTGTTTACATCGTAATCAATATTAAAGAAACCCATTAAAATAATATTATAAAAGTTAAGTAAACAATTATGCTCACCTCTGGAAGTTCATCGGGAACTTTTCCCATCCATGTGAGCGAAAGGATTGGACAGTCGCTTTTTGCATTTAAAGTCCTTTCAAAATGAAGATGCATTTTGAGGAGCAAACGTAAAAAATAAGAACACTTCGCGTACTGTAAAAGAGCGACGAAAAATACTATCGCGGGTGCATATTGGTCGTATTACCGTGCGGTTCATGCTTAATTGTTTTAGTTATAAGTTGATGGTACCGTGTGTTATGAACATGATTACCAACGTTCGCCAGCGACCAGGACTGTGTGTGTGTCTACACCTCAAGATCCTTCCACTTATTATTGATTTTTGTTTTCAGTAAAATTTCAGGACCACGTTCCCGGTTACAGCGCGGTCGCGCATTTTCAGAGCGCATGTGCTTAGGATTTTACGGAATTGTGGAAAGCGACAGCGACAGGCGGTCGCATGTTCTCCCCCTTTTGGATCGTTGTACTGTAAAATCGAGCAGGATAAGGTTTGTTTATTCGAAATGCGAATTTATATTACCTTCGACCATAGAAATAACGGCGTTATGTATTTCCATACCTACGGCCTATGTAGATCCTACGTCCTTTGACACTCATAAATGACTTGTTTGTTTGGGCTGATCTGGCTGATCTGACTATATTGATACTTGTCTGTCATTGCTTATATAAGGGGATGTGTATACCTATAAGTAATGCCGGGGACAGAAAAAGGTAAATTAAACATAATATCAATTAGTTATACATCATGTTTAACATTTAAATAGAGAGTAGAAATTTCCCAAATGAGTCTACGATTTTTGAATTTGATAGAGTATTGGAAAATAATCTTGTTAAAAAATTAAATTATTTTAAAAATTCTTTGAAATATTAATATAAATTTTAATACAAGGTTTATATAACCTCACAGGCAAAATAATCGATCCACACAAATTTTCGATGAATTTCAATCGCAAATAACTTTTTATTTGATGTCGGATTTAAACGAATATTAAAGAATATTGTAGATAAATTAATGCAGAAACACTTACATTTTAAAAAATTACTAAAAAATTGATATACGTTTACAGGTTTCTACAGGTAGGTACTCTATAGAGTGGCAAAACCGTATACTTATTCTTCTAAATTAAGTTTTAATTATCAAGCCACATCTATTTTTAACAGTTTTGTTTTTGGTTCACCTTGATATATTTATTTATGTGGAAAATATGGATTTTCAAAAAAACATTGCAATTTCCAATATTTTTTCTGTACGAAGAACTAAGGTTGCTATGGTCCATCCATAGCCTATGGAGGATGACAGTGACAGTTTTGTTGAATCATGCCAAACTTGCAACTCCATGGACATGTCATATAAGGCCTTCAAAAGCTATTAAATTGTTTTTTGTAAATTAAATGTCTTAATTTTGAGGTGTCCTCTTACATTTAAGAAGGTAGGTATATGTCTCCGACTGATGTTGCCCTTTGTACTTTACTTCTTGTGACGTTTAAAACACTTGCCACGTAATACGGTGACCGTCCATACTGAATTAAATCAATGGCTCTGACAACATGAGTCGGAGACATATCCATTTTTAAAAGTAAGAAGACTCCTCAAAAGTTAAACATTAATTTGCAAAAAAACAAAACTGTCACTGTCATCCTCCAAAGCCTATGGATGGACCATAGCAACCTTACTTCTTTGTACATACAAAATATTGAAAATTGCAATGTTTTTTTTAAAAGATCCATATTTTCCACAAAAATAAATATATCAAGGTGAACCAAAAACAAGACTGTTAAAAATAGATGTGACTTGATAATTAAAACTTAATTTAAAACAATATACGGGTTAGCCACTCTACATAGTGTCTTAAACTTAAGTTAAAAAACTTATTTTTGTTTAAACCTGTATATTATAAACGTACATCTATTTTTTAGTAATTTTTTAAAATGTGAGCGATTCTCCATTAATTTATCTACAATATTCTTAAATATTCGTTTAAATCCTACATCAAATAAAAAAGTAAAAAAGCGATTGAAATTCATCGAAAATTTGTGTGGATCGATTATTTTGCCTGTGAGCTCAAATTTTATTATACACTAGTGTACAATAAAATTTTGATTCTGTAAAAATTTTAATTTAATTGAATCAGTTGCGGCGATTGTATACTGGTTTAAATATAAAAATCTTAAAAGTGGATAAAAAATTACGTTATTTTGTAAACTATACAATGTATCTTTATACATTTTTTCACATGTTTTGTGTGTTGATTCTCTGAATCAGTAACGTCTGGTTTTACCTACAGGTGTAACACAAACAACAAGTTATTGTTTAGATTTAATACCCTAGGTCTTAGTTATTTAGCATACAATTATTGTATCTTCTTAATCTGGGGTTTAAGTGCTCACGCGGACCGAGTGTTTGGGCTTCAGAGGCGTGCTGTGAGAATTGTCTCTGGATATTGAGACGACATACAATATAAATTTGCCAAACGGGATTACTAACTTTTCCCAGCCTCATCATTTATGAGTCGATCTGTGCTGTCAGAGATGCACTGTCAAATTATGACACACATGCGTCTGGAATCCAGTCGAAATTGTTTCAATTATTACGGACCAACTTTATTCAATTCGTTTCCTGCTGAAATATATACTTAAATTTTGATGTAAATTATACTTTAACTGTGATGTCATAACTATTTTTACACTTATTCTTGAGGTTTTTAATATTTTTACTATTTAATTAGTATTTTACTTTCCTAGTTTTATTGACGAAGCTGTACTTAATTTAAGTTCTCTGATAATAAAGATTGTGTCGTACCTAGGCTGGTTATGGCCTTAAGTACTTCACCAAGGTTCCTCTCCGATTGACTCTTCAGATATGGAGGAATACCTACCTCGGGTTGCTTTTATTCAGTGGAGAAAGTAGGGTTTATAAGAATCAGTTAGGGTTGGTGGTTTAATTTAAAATGCAAAAAGTAACTTAAACTGGTTTATTTACCAAGGTAAAAGTATGTACAAAATTATATTAAAATTATATACAGTATTTACAGTATTTACAAAAGTATCGTAGACTTTGCACACAAAGGTTCTTGCATAGCCTTTAATCAGGACAGGCAAATGTTCCAGGGCTTTTCACAGGCAACTGGCAGGTACGGGCGTAGTTTTCAGTCCTACAGAGAGACAGGGCAGATTTGCAATTGGACTCTAGTGGAAAAATACATGTTGTTAGGTTATGTTATATGCATACAGGATTTACAGTTTCATTAACTCTGCTATTAAAGCTTAATATTATACGGCTTAAAGCCCTTTGATATTAAAAACAGGTTAACTTACTGTTAATATTCCACTGAGAATTCTCTGTGATTAAGTGGTTGGTTTTGGGCTCACAATTGATAACACCATTTGGAACTGAGCCACCAGACGACTAATTGTCCATTGAAAAATGCAGCGGTTTTATAGACGAAATTCTGATGACAGACTTGATGAAAAACAATTGGGGCCGCGTGCAATAAATCCTTCACAGGAGCCGTGTGCAACAATTGTTGACAACATATGTGGTTGACAGTTGTCCAAGCGCCATCTGTTAGAGTTTCGTCTAACTGCAGGTTTCTGGTAGTCCAACTCTTTCCTTGACGTCGGGTAGTTAGGAAATCGTCTCATAGATGTCGTAATGTGTATCGTTAGTAATGATTCATTACATTCCCCCCTTACTAAAATCTTGTTTTCAGTTTTCTGAAAACAACGGTCTTATACTGGATTAAAACTGGTTTCTGGAAACTAAAAAAAAAAACTTTTTAAAAAAAAAAACAAATTAAAAATTAAAACATTTTTTTCTAAAAATTCTTCACGGCTCTGGGTTACGGGTCCTCTTCCGTGATTAGGGACTGGCTCATCGATTTTTAACCAACCCCTTGGCGGTAAATCGTTCCGTAGTCGCATGGCTGCGGGACAGAAATTTGTGCAAAGTTTGGTTTAGATCGTCGGTATCTGGAGACTTTTTCTAAGACTGCTTTTACTTGTGGCAACGGCGCCTTTATCGAGACGTTGTTAATTTTTCGGGCCTTGATGCAGAATCGTTGCTCTCCATTAGCTTTCTTGACAATCACGGTTGGTGAACTGCAAGAACTATGGGAGGGCTTGATTTTTTCTTGAAGTTTCCTAGTAAAGCCAGGAATTGTAACACGGGACTTTAATTCGGCCTCCTGCTGTTGTTCTTCAGGCATCAGGTTTGCCTGAATTACAGACAAGGCCGGACTTTGAAATGTTGCTGGTTTTTCAGGGTTTTCGGGTTTTCCTGGGTTTTCTGGTTTTCCTGGGTTTTCTGTTTTTCCTGGTTTATTTTGGGTGTAATTTTCCAATATCTTATGCTTAGATATAAAATCCATCCCCAAAACAATATTTTCTACTAGATTTGGTAAAAAATAGAACTGGTGCTGGGTATATTTATGGTAAAATTGACAACCAACGGTGTAGGCCCTAGTAACGGGTTGTAGGGACCCATCAGCCAATTGTACCTGGCTCGTACATTGTTGTCCTGGTTGGTTTGGTAGATTTTCTACCACGGATTTTCCGATGTAAGAACATATAGCTCCGGTATCCAAAAGGGCATTCCATTCCCTCCCTTTAATTTCCAATTTAAGGAACAGCCTGGGGTCGTTTGTTACGTTTTCGGGTTGATTGGATACAAAATTTCGATTAATCGTCGGGATTTTTGCTTCACCCTGTATATTGTGTCTTAGTGGCAAGATTGTGGATACTTGGGAAATTTGAACCGCCCTGGCAGGTTTTTGATTATCAATTTCTTTTTGCAGACTTTCAAACTCTCCTGCTTGCCCCATCAAATCTTTAACCGACTTGGCATCGGCGCGTCGAATGTATTGACGATATTCCGGCCGTAGGTTTTTATACAGGGTGTACAACTCTTCCTCTGAGCTGTATTTTCCATGTCGTCGCATAAGTGATTGAATGTCAATCATGTACTCTCGAAACCTTTCCTTGGGACGTTGTTTTCTTTGAGAGATTTCTTCGAGTAGGTCCTCGGTATACCTACTGGGAAAATAAGTTTGCTTAAAATCCTCTACGAAATCATCCCATTCTTCCCAGCCAGCTTTCCAGTTCCTATACCACAATAGGGCACTGCCCCTTAACAGTTCCGGTAATGCTCTCAGTAAGTTTTCCTCTTCAAAATCATAGCATATTTTAAGCTCTTGAATTCTTTCGAGGAATGAAACTGCATTAGTATTGCCATCAAAGTGTACATTCCACTTTCTCACCTGGTCACAGACCTTTCGATCATCTTGTGGTG